CACACACACACACACACAAGGGTCTATTTGATAACATTAAAATTTGCTCTACCGTAACAGTGCATTTAGAATGAATTAGAATACTGCAAGTACATGTAATAAGTCTGATGGGGCAAAGATTTGAGACACTAAGACTTGTATTTCTTGGTTGTTGTTTTTACCGGCGCTGTATATATTATATATATTATTATAGACGAGGTGACTGGAAATTATGGTAAATGTTTTAAGCCCCCCTCGACACCATTAAGAACATATTTCATATCTTCAACTGTATCCGTCGAGGCCAACCCAGACTAAGCGGAAATAACATTTTCATTTAAAAAAAAACCCCAAAAACAGACGGAAATACAAAACAAAACTTGGTGATCTTGTACTTCCGTTCGTTTTAGTCCACCATCCATTTGTTTACATCCAGAGAAGAAAACCGGAAGTCTTGTTGACCAAATAGGCAACACAAAGGACAGGGATGCAACCTATCTGCAAAGCATCAAGCTTTGGACTTTAATGAACGAAACAACAAAATTGCCCAAAACGTAATTTCCAAAGTGGAATCGAATTCATGTCTTCTGTAACAAACGCAAGTTTAACCGTCAGGCTTGTCTGTACAAACGACTGGACATCCTACTACCAGAGAGTAAAGCTTGGTCCCGTCCTTGGTGTTGTCATGTAACTGGCCACAGTGTCGAGGAGTTTCGAGGAAGTTAACTAGTTTGGTTGCCCTGCCATGACACAAGTGAGGAAATAAATATTCCAAAAAGAACAATAAAATTCCGAATGCTCTTCGGATTTGAATCTTGATGTTGCCTCAGCAGCAGTAGGTTACCCCGAGTGACTGCGGGGCTTTCGAAATGCATGGTGAGAATTTGTCTAAATAAAAGGAATACACCAAACTGACCATCACCTCGATTTGTAAGGATTTTGTTATTATTTTTTTCTTCAGCCCGTAATGAAAGGGTTTGATCTGATGGGGCAACTTTAATCCCAACTAAGACATTATCTGATGGGGCAACTTTAATCCCAACTAAGACATTGTCTGGTGGGGCAACTTTAATCTCAACTAAGACATTGTCTGACTTCTTAGAAGTCATGGCGTGAATATCGAAATGCATGTTGCCAAGGCACCTATAGTTGGACATTGAGAACCATAATATGAGAATCTTACAAAAGGTTAGGAACAACTGTGACTTGCAGGTATGAGCAAAAAGGGCGCACCACAATTCAGTACAAAATACTAAAAATAAAAAAAGCTCGTCGGTCAATGTCTGACCATACTCAAAATGATTTAAGCACAAGGGGGCTATCCCGAAAAAAGCTGCTTTGAGAAAATCTAAGGTAAAGTTTTTGCCCCCAGTTCAGTTTCTTTAAAAGACAAGGAGAATTTTCTCTAGATCTATAACCAAATAAATATACGTACCAATGAAACCAAACTTCTCCTATAGGTAGGGCAAAGCCCATTTTTGGAGTAAGTCAAGATTTCTGGAAACCCCCGAAATCTGGGTTAGCCCGCTCGTCCTTAAAAGCAACCAAATACCCTTTTTAGAACCCCCCGTCTCTCTCTCTCTCTCTCTCTCTCTCTCTCGCCGTAATTTCATATTTTTAGAAAATCCCAAATTGCCTCAGCATTGTCGATGTGGACATATCCATCAGACTTGGTTGTCGAAAGGCATATACAATATACAATACAATACAAAGGCTTATATAATACTATGGTGTGCGGATTATATTGCTGTTGAGAATAAGAAACCGGATTTTCAGTTTGAGTTCGATTCAGTGTGAATACAAAAACGACGAACATAAAAAAATTATGCTGATTATTCAGCAGAGGGCCAGACAACTTGAAACTGAAGGAAAGGAAACTTACGAAGAAAAAGGAAGGAAGGAGAGCCATACTGTAGGGGCCTGCTCATTGTTATGCGTTCTAGGAAGTGGAATTTGAAAGATTGTATTGTATATTGTATTGTATTGTATTGTGTAGTTTGCACATTGGTAGAACTAAGCAAAGTCTGTAATTACACAAAACCAGGCAGGTTTAACATTTTCAAATCGGGTTGAGGACAAAACTCATTCAGCTAGCTTCGTGTCTTGTTACCGTGACCACATATTTGCGAAATAAGTATAATTTATCCCCTTTTGACACACTCCATAGGTTTAGTATTTATCTAATTCTTCCCTACCCTGACAAGGAATAATAAAGGCCTACTGCTAGGCATAGGTCCGGATCAATTTGAATACGCGAGGCAGCGTAGTCGAATCAGGCTCTCGTCAAAATAATCAAATTGAAGAAACTTGCATTTTTCCCCAGGTTTGTGAATTTTTATCAAATTTTTGTTTTTATGCTCAACACTTTTCATGCCCATTAAAGTTAAAGCACTCATTTCTGTGTGGATTTCTCTGAAAAACGTTGATTAAAGGCACAAAAAAATGTAAATTTTCAGTTACTCTTAAGCTAAGGAAATAACTAATCTTTGGCGGCCCTTTTTTCAATAATTTTACCTCTGAAAACAGATGACCCCCACCTCCTTCTTTCACAAATATCTCGACTTGTATTCAAGACAAATGGATATTTTTTCATCCAAATAAAGATAAGTGAACAAGCTTTAAGATAATACCAAAAACTCTACATGCCCCAAAATTGACGAGACCCTGATTCCACCACGCTGCCTCAAATATAATATTATCTTTACGGTAATTATTATTGAATATATAGGCTACCTATTTCCGTGTGTGGCATCGGTGGTATGGCATTTAGGCTGCAGGGCTCATAACCAAAAAGTCGTGGGTTCGAACCCCGTCAGGGACCCGACGTTGGGTCCTTGGGAAAGGTAGTTTTTTTCTTCACCCAGATGGATAACCGGCTTTCGACAGCGAAAGCTCTTTCAGTTCGTTCGTGGACCCATGACAAATGGCATCGGTACATTGGCTGCTTGCACTCTATATTTCTAGATATCTACCTGAACCCAAGAATTTTTTTTGTTTTGTTTTTGAAAAGTGTTTTACGGCGCTCGCAACTGCATAAGGTCATATGAGCGCGCGGGACACACCTAATATTTTCAGTTGGTAGGAAATTTTGAATTTTGCCCGGGTGGCGACCGAAGCCTACTCTTGTCGATTTTAGACCACCAAAGGATCTTTAACGTGCGCAACTTGCACACAGGCCTCCAAGATTTTTCGCCCTTGTCCGAGAAGGCTAGGAGTAGATCTTTCCTACCAGAAGATATGGGGTGTGGCTGAAAGACAGCAGTAAGAAGAAGCGAAGGAGTAGCAGTAGAAAGGCTGCAGAAAGAATCAGGAGCCCAGAGGAAGGGGGTGGGGGCAGAAAGAGGAGACGAAAGCAGACAACAGATCATTGCTAGAGAGTAGGAAATGAGGTGAAAGGAGACAAATTTAGAGAAGAAAATTTTTCGGTCGCTACCCGGATTCGAACCCGGGACTTTTGAATGAGAGGCCCCTACCCAAGAATTAATAGTTGTAAAATATATATCTAGAGAGAATGTTGTAGAGCATGGTTAGGTGATATATAATGCAGATGATGAAGATGATTATTATTGTTGTTATTGTTGTTGTTGTTGTTGTTGTTGTTATTACCATTATTATTATTATTATTATTATTATTATTATTATTATTATTATTATTATAAAGCGTACACAAAAGGCAGGCCTAAGCCTGAAAATGATTTACAGGCAGTACACGTACCCTGAGGGCGTTGACAGACTGGTTTTTGAAAGCTCAAAATTTTAATATTGTGTTAGATTACTGTAAGAACTTGGTTATCTTTGCTTTAACCTAAGAGTCATTTGTGAAAATTATACCTAGCCTGGTAGAAGTCTCTCTCATGTTAGTCTATTTATTTGTGTTTTTTCCCAGACTTTTATTCAAAGCGGACTTCTCTACTAGATCTAGATCTAGACAGGGGTTGTTTTTAAGAAGTAGGCTTGGCACTTGGCCGCAAACAGGGTAAGTCGAGGGGCTGAGTTGAAATCTAAAGTTACATTTTTTTTTAAAGAAAGAAAATTCAAAACAATGCCAGATCTGAACTTTGGAGATAGCATAATATAGGTTATGAGGTGAACGTTAAAGAATCTAGATTAGATCTAGATCTAGATCAAGCTGATTGAGTTTTTCCACATATTTGTTCATTTGGTTCTGAGTCCAAATTTGGATACAGTCGGTGCTGATAGTTTTCATTGAAGCAACAAAGATGAAGAGCTTAAATATAGATGCATGTATAGAGCTTTGTACATCTAATGATGATCATATTGGTCTTGAAATATCACACATCGCTTGACCGGGCCATTTTCTTGTCTCCTAAGCCTTGTCTTACTATTACTAACATAGTATGTATGTAGTCCCCCCCCCCTCCCCCTCACACACCTACCTTTTTGCATTTTTGAGTTATATACATTAGGTTCCACAAACTGGCCACGGAGGCCAGAGTGTGTGTTTTTCTTTTTTTTTTTTTAATATATTTTTTAAACAATAGCAAGTACCCACACCGTGAAAAGTCATTATCTAATATCACCCATGCCGAACGCCTATACACTAGATCTAGATTTAGATCTCTAAGTCAAGCCATGAAACGGCATCATTTAAGTCGCCAAAATCATTCCGAGGGTAGAATAGAGAGCTACGATGGCACACAGACCTAGATTCTAGACCCAGGCCTAATTTCTTTTGGCCATAATATAGTTTAGGCTTAGATCTACCAATAGTACTAGATCTATAGTATAAAATAAATTACCTTCTATTGCATGCGAGTTGGTCTTGGCTACAGTGAGAAATTTTGATATCCGTGGTGCACAACGTCAGATTTCAAGCTACAGATGAGCAAAATGAAGAAAATGACAGTCCTAAACTTCAGCCAAGAAAGTGTCGGCGCATAGCAGTGACCACAACCGTCATCACATGACTTTGTTATAAAAAAAAAGTTCAAGTAATTGCGCTCAACTCGCACCAGACATGCAGAAACAATGACGATGAGGATTTGGTTCCGTCTGCACTAGCCTAGATCTACTTCCTGTTAGCTTTGTTTCGATAACCCTGATCAGAGTGCAGCTTGTTTGTTTCAAAGAAGACTTAGTAGACCAAGCCTAACGTCAAATCTATGAATGGGTTTCTAGAAATACCTAGATCTGGATCTCTCCACCAATCGTACTGTAAGCCTACACTTGTTTTTAATCTCCCGATGAACAAGAGAGAAACTGGGTAACACGTTTGTTGATTTTTCAATGAAACGATAAGTTATTGCCGTCCTAAATAAACCGAATGATCTGTCGTAGAATGTCCGTCCATTGTGTAGGAATAAATAAATAAATATACCGGAGACACTCTACTTGGCCTGTGGGGGAACAGCGACGCGGAACCTGAGTCATAAATCGGCTGAAGGCATGATCACTTTTTTGAAACGAAGAGCAGGCCAGTCCCCAGAATTTTCAAAACTTATGTTTTCAAAACGAATCTGTCAGTGAAATTTGTCATTCCATAGCCTCAGGACGTAAGAAGGGTCGTCCTGCAGATATAGAGCAATGCACAACTGTTGGTCCACACCTCAGCGAATGTTAGTCCTCGGGGTCCGAAGCCTGGCGATAAACAAGCAGAAACGTGCGAAGAAAACACTGCACGCTACACTCTCAGAAAGCGAGGAAAAGCAGGGAAATTATCGCAGCAATAGTTGTACACACAGTAGAATCAGCGACTCGTGGTGCGTGTGTATAAATTCTCAACCTTTGGAGTGTTTATCATAAACGAGGCTGACGCGAGGTTCTTGTTTACCGGCGGGCGTCACCC